GGGGGCAATCACTTTTTCACACAGGGCCATGTAGGTTTGGATTTTTTTCCCCCTTAATAATAAAAACCTTCATTTAAAAACTGCATTTTGTGTTTACTTGTGTTATCTTTGTCTAATATTTAAATTTGTTTGATGATCTGAAACATTTAAGTGTGACAAACATGCAAAAAAATAAGAAATCAGGAAGGGGGCAAACACTTTTTCACACAAGTGCGTGCGTGCGTATAGAAGTGGAAGTGGGGCTCAAACTTGTTTCTCCAGAATTCAGTGAAATCTATGAAGCGGACCATGTGAGGGACAGGTTTTACTTCCCAACAGATTACCCTAATTTGAACTTTAAACATCAGAATGTCCTATTGGACTTTTCTCCCAGCAGTTACTGTACTGAGCAGCATGGTGACCAACCAGTAGAGGTGGTGTAGTTAAGGAGAATTGTTTCCTGTAGCCTTGTCCTTTAATCGCCTGGCATCACACTTCACCACAGCAAGCGCTGCAGAGCGCTTTAAGATTCCAGATGCTGACTATACCATTGCATGTCCATAACATTTATACATCTACTTCACCCAGCCTGGTTGCCTTCTCTTTCAACTAAGCATTTCAAATAGACAGCAGAAGCGCTACTCTAATGATAACTTGCAGTTATTTCGATGCAATGACATTACAGCAGTAACTTCTGTTGCGACGGCGTGGTGTATGGTTCACCACCGACCAGCGTGTGATACCCAATTCATTGACTCAAGTGATGTCATTTGAGTCAGGTCGGCTGGGAAGGAAGAATGAATTTGAGAAAGGTTGCAATACTAAATTGATGCAGCACTCTTTACCCTTGCACCATATGTGATAGTTGACAGTGGGCACTCTTCTGGTTTGAGAAAGTAAGGCATCATGTTGGGTGATGAGGTCTGGCTCACAGGCAGCGTTCCAGTCCATCCCAGTGGACTCTTTGCAGGCCAGTCAAGTTCTTCCACACTAATCTGGGAAAAGCTTTTCTTTATGAACCTGGCTTTGTGCATACGGACCTGCAGTGTCCTCATATAAAGTGGAGTTACTTTGGATGTTTTGACTTCGAATAAGAATCATCAACAGAATCAGGTTCAAATGCCAGATCATTAAAAACAGACACAAGTAGCAACCAAGTCTAAATAACCCTTTAAAGAGCAGAGAGTCCAGGATAGCCACACTACATATGAATGATTGGGTATTCTGTATACAGTTTCTTAGCACTGACCATGTGTCAGTCAAATCTAAACAAATTTAAATATAGAGTAAAGTCATGAGTGTTTACAGTTATATTATAAAACATACACACAGTAAAAGGAAGAGACAAACAGAGAATATTTACATATATAACAAAGAACTCACTGTGCCAGTCTGGGACGACTTCCCCCCTGTCAACATCATGTGATGCTTCTGCAGCCGACACACATAATGGCTAATATTCACTGTGTCAACAGCTCAGTGGCCTCCATGAGGGCCTGAGAGCTGAGACCTCTGATGGCGCTCCAGCACACTACACGGCTTTTAGCCTTTTCTTCTATGTTACACAGTTAGTAGTAGTGAGCCTCACTCCACCCGTTCTGTTCCATCTTTAAATCTTTGACGCACGCACGCACGCACGCACGCACACGCACACTGAGAGAAAGCATTCACCCATCCCCACAAAGCAGTCCCAACAGAAGAGATGCTTAGTGTAGCAAAGGTAAGTTCCCTGCACCACATCTTTAGTCCTATGTGTCATAGGTTTTGTCCGAATGGCTGTGAAGAGGGTCAGAGACACATTTCTGCTCTACAAAATAAGAATGATAAGAATAACAATAATGCACATGATTGCCCCTTGTGGTGATGACAGTGGTAGGGGCCTTCGGTGGGTTTGTTTAATGTTTGCTGGGAGTTATGGCTCCGATGATGTCAACCTCTTTGTCCATAGTTTACCTCCTGTCCATGACTGGTTTCCATGGGGTCTTCTTTGAAGGTTTCACACTGCTCCATTACTTTGCTGAAAACATTCAATATTTAACAAGTTAGCTGAGGGTTAGCTTCTATCCACTTCTCAAACAGTACATTCTATGCCTGTACTGAAATGATTTCACAGTCAAATGGTGCAATCCACAAGGGATGTTTGGTTACAAATGCTATTTGTACTATTACCACCACTTGCACTAATATCCCAAATCCATTGTCATTGACATTGTTCTTTATGTTCATATATATTCTTTGATATATATTTATATTGTACATAGTAGTTAAATGTCTATGCTTAGTCTCTCTGTTCTACCTTGTTGTCTTTAATGTCCTTGTTTTTCTTGTTTATTTGTATATTCCATGTATGTACGTTGAGAGCAATGTGTAAACCAGAGTCAAATGCCATGTACATCATACATGGCCAGTAAAGCTGATCTGATTTAGGGTGCTTTCTCTGCTTTAGTTCACTTATGCTGCTGTAAAAGCTGTTCCTCTGGATTTTTGGTCCAATTTATAGTTTGACTGATCTCAGCTCGTTTGTAGTAAGAACGAACACAGAGCAAAGGCAGGATTTGGTGATAGTAGATATATGATATTAGCAGGAATTCAAAAGCTTACTAGTGTTGCAGCCATATCAAGGGTTCCAACAGCATGTTATAGGTAGGGTGCCTCTCCTTAACAACAGAGCACCTTCTCTGACATCAGAAGACATTGCCTGCTTGAGGCGAACACAATATTCCCACACTGAATGGAATGTCAGGACCTCCATGTATAATGCTGCCTGAAATCTTTTCTGTGCATCTGAAGTCTTCCAAACCTGAAGCGTGTCACACAATCTGTTGTGAGGCTGACAGGAAAGGTGTCTAGAGGAGCAGTCAATCTAAGGTAAGTTACACCAGTGTTAGCAGCTGATGCTACAGCTAACCATCACCAGAAACCTTTGGGTTACTGAGGTCATGTGTTGTGAGACATGTGTCAAGACATGGTCCCAGAACTGAGGTTAACAATCAGCAGCATTTTAGTGAAACATTCATCCTGCTGGGGCAGGACCAGTGTTCTCCAGTCAGCAGCAGACTATTGCTTTCTCCACACTGGGGTGTGCACACATCTAACCCCTTGATTAAAGGGATTCCAGGCCTGGCTGCTAACAGAATGATGTTCTCTTGACTAGGTGCAACAGACAGAATGTTAAACCAGGAGAACTAGTTCTTCCTCTGCTGCTCCGCCTGTGACTGACCCATCAGCTGCAGAATGTATCTTGGCTGATAAAACCTTCTGGAGGAGTACTGAAAAGGATTTATTCAAGCACAGCTTATACACACAGCCTGAAGTCTTACCTGGCCATGTCCTTTGTCTCTGGCTGTGAGCTTTCCAGTTCTAGAACTTTCTCTAGAAGAGTTATTCCTCCTTCCTTTATCAGCAGGGGACAATACTTGCTTGCTGTGGAACAAAAATGAATGTAAAGAGACAGATTGTGAGCATTGTAGGAACTGTAATGTGTGTAGAGGAATAAAAGAATAAGCAGTCGGGTGAAGAGTGAAATAGAAGTGCTAATTTTAGAAAACAGTAGAAGATTTTATTATATTATTATGATTTGAAATATGACAAGTTACATTTTGGAAACTGTACCAGTATATTATTATAGAACATGCGTAGTATAAGCTAGCTGTAAATGAAACACAAGTTAGCAGAAGCAGTGTTCATGGCGATAGTGCAGATGTAAGCACTGAGCACAGTGTGCTGTGAGCAGTAGATACTCACGGTAAACGGACACCAGGTTGTAGAGAGCCCATGTGGCCCAGTGCTGACTGACAGGGGCGATGCTCTGAGGCAGCAGTCGCAGGATGGGCTCGAATGACCTGAGAGACCAACGGCAATGTCAAATTCAAAAAGGAGGAAAAGCCACTGTACAGCTAGACCACAGCTTCCACGCAGTACATACTGTATACAGATGTGATGTCATGACATTATTTGGCAATTCATTTTCACCAACAGGTTTAAGTAGCTTTTTCAGTGAAACATTTCATGACTTGTGAGCTGTTGTTACATTACATGTCAGAAATCAGCCGCTCTAAATAATGTTCAATGACTGAAATATTTCTTCTGGTATTTGATACCTTTTTGGTATTCTCTTTAATAATCCTTTCAGAACGAAATATAATCTATATTATCTAAATGAAAAGCTGATATGGCATTAATAACTAAACAGATGATCACCTGTAGTTGATGTTGCGCCGTGAGGTGACGTCCCAGCTCTGGATGGCGTCCCACATCTTGTCCATCACCGTGTCTCTTCGCGGCTCTTCCATCGACCAAACCTCCGGCCCATCAAACATGATGTGTGAGAGCACGCCACATGCATTGTACGACACCTCGATCCCATCTGCCTTACTGTCCAGCAGGTTACTGTCGAAGCATTCAACAGTGATTGGAGAACACAAAACAACAAATACCTGACGAGATGTTTGCAAAAAAAATGAAATCCCTCAGACCTGAATTTACTTTGAACTGCAAACTCTATATTCAGATGTGTTTTAACTCTTTGGTTCATTGAGTTTAGTAAGGCGTTATTATGTGTGTGGGTGCTCCAATGATAGGAAAAAGGTACAATTATCATGCGTCTTGTTCTGTGTGTAGCATGTGAACTCTTCAGCCTGCTGTCATTGCTATGCAACAGTATATACCGCGTGTAATCGTCACGGAGGGTTTACTAACTAGATGTGACATTTGATTTTAACCCACAACGTCTGACCATCAGTCGTCTGGTACACACTTGTGTTTGTTCCAGCTGTGTTCATTCAAGACAAACAATATATTTCTTTTACAAAAGCTCTCATCTGTTTAGCAGTGACTGCATGTTACAGTCAGGGCAACCACACTGTTGAGTTAGTGGTGATGCATCAACGCACTCCGACACATACAAGATATTTTCAGATGGCATGCGCCTGGAGAGTACCACCACATGTATTGGACTACACCAGCCACGACAGAGACGCTGGTATTGTTTTCACCTTGTGAGTCATGATGGCAAAATGTGTTCCTGGAGCCATCGACTGTAACGGGACCTACCACTGAAGAGGTGTGTGTCTGTGTGTGTGTGTGTGTGTGTGTGGGGAACACAATTCTGTAAACTTAAAGCCTATGTATCAACAAAATAAACTAAATTCTAAGCACAATTCCATTGTTTCAGTCAAATAGTAATTCTACATCCACCAGGACTGTAATTCACTGACTTGGGGGTGAAAATATGCCGGCTCTACCCGCTGTCTCTCTCTCTGCCCACTGAGCAGCGGCTCAACTCTTGTTCTTCGTAGGCAGACAATTCAATTTGCTAAATAAAATAACAAAAATCTCCCAAATATATGTGTGTATATATGTGTAGATATATATATATGTGTGTATATATATATATA